TAAGGCACAAAGTAAAAACAGAATTATATTTCCAGACAGAAAATGACAGTGGAGCTTTCAGGTCTGATTTTATATCCTTAATATTTGGCGTAAAAAAACAAACTTTTATCGTCTCCAAACTGTCTTCTTTTCAGGTATGGATCCTCGTGCGCCGCTACCTCCTGGTGTCAGTATGTTGCCAATCCAGAAACAGAGAGTGCCACCTCCTCCAGGAGAAGATAACAGAGAGGTAGGCACATGTTTTTAGCTCTTTGTTTTTTCTTTTCTTTTATGTGTTATAATGTTAGGAGGCAAAAAGGCAACTCTTTTAGCTGACTTCAGTTTAGAGTTTGTCATTTTTGTTCTTTTCCAGGAACTTACAACTCTTATTGATAGACAGCAGGAGACTATGATGTGCTACATTCTGTCTATCTATCTACATTGTTATACGTTTTTTGCTTCCACTGCAGGCCTGGCAGAACGAGGAGGTAAGCGTCACTGGGCCCAAGATCCCTCAAGCTCTGGAGAAGATCCTCCAGCTGAAAGAGATCAGACAGGAGCAGCTCACCGACCCCACAGGTCAGTACAGCTGCACGTTTTCTGTTTGACAAATGGAAAAAAAAACTGACTTAAGAAGAAAGAACTGTTGATGGTTAAGACCATTCTGCACGCTGAAGAAGATAAAAAACAATTACTCAGTGTTTAACTGGAATAGAAAGGGACACTGGGAAGTTGGGATGTGGTAACATTCAGGTTCATAATCGGATTTTCTCTTGTTTCTGTTTTGTCTTCTCTTGCTTTCAGAGGAGGAAGATGATGAGGGAGCAGAGATGAACTCCTCTGCACCAGTCATGTCTGAGACAGAAGACGATGACAGCCAGATATCTAAGAAAGATGTAAGACGCCTTTTTTCAGTTAAAACATCACAGTTCTGTGATATATTATATATATTTCAGTTGTTTGTTATTATAGAGTTTAGTACTCATACAGAGGCAAATTCAGATTCAAAACATCTTGGATATTTGAGTCAGATCTCATTCATAAATAAAGAACTTATAACAAAACCTGACAAACTGCCCCATCTGCCTTCTGATTGTACTGCCTGTGTCATAATCCCAGGGGAAAAAACAAGGGAATCTTTCCCAGATATATGTTCTTTATCTATATTTTGAAGTGGTTTGAAATCTAGTTTGTTAAATTCATGAACCAACATTTCCATCAGAAAAACCGCAGACGCAGAAACCGCAAGAAGAAGAGCAAGCAGAAGCGAGCCCATGAGAAGAAGGAGCAGGCCGAGCAGCAGCAGCAGAAGAAGGAGGGCGGCGACAAAGAAAAGGACAAAGACAAGGAGAAGGAGAAGGAGAAAGAGAAGGAGTCAGAGGTG